ACTGACCGAATACTGGAATTTGACCGTATCTCTCATACCGCACTCACGGTCCGAAATTGCAGATAGCGTATTTTGCCGAAACGAATCTTGGGTTCAAAGTCGTCCGGGAGCTGTTCTTATATTGATTGTCTTATCGATCAGCGTCTCGTTAGAAAGCCAGCGTCTAGCATATGAAACACTTTTTTCATGTTTTTTCCCGTATCTAATCAAAATAATATGAATAATATATAGAAAGTAAATATTGAAATTAATGTGGTAGCAAACTGAAAATTTGCAAATGAATACGTTTATACGGAAACAAAGTAAACATACAAAAAATGTTATCCTACACATTTCTGCTGTCCGAGCGATTCTCCGTTTCATGATAATAACTCATGCATGGAACTAGTTCTCTAAAGAATTTGATTTGAAAATTCCAAAATTTTTAAGAAGCACAGCTGTATTAATATTTACTGTCGCTTATAAGCCTTCCTTTTGCGCATGGTTAAAGAGTTATTCGAATACATAAATACAAGAAAAGTCTGTGTAGATCATAATAAGAACCAAGAGGGAATCCTCAATAGCCGCGGCATTTGAAATTCTTTAAGGCAGGATAAGAGTAAATTAATATATGAGACCCTGGGCGTGGTCAAATATATCAATCGAAAGCGTTTGACCTCCTGAATCTAAATCTATAATTAAATTTAGCTTTGAGCTAAAAACTTGTACATAAAAAATCACACCCATGCTATGAGCCGCGGCTAAAGAACACACCTTTAAAACAACCTCTATATAGTCAGTGTTTTAGTAAGAATTATACACACACACACACACATATATATATGTATGTATATGTAAAAAAAATTATTTCAACAGTTAAGTTAATGTCAAAAGGAAGGAGTGCATTGAAAACATCAAGACATTTAAATTATCAAAACAAATCTTAACTAAAGTGGCACTCAGTATAGAGCATACCTCCGTCACGTAGCGTTATCATATTCGGCCCTCAAAAAATACGAAAATGCATCCGTCGTTATCAACTGAAACATACCATTTTTGGCAGGACAATGAGGAATAATATTATACATATGTTCACCAAGTTTCATCACAATCCAACCATTTGTGACTGAGTTACAGAGCACAAATAATGTGAAAAATCTGTCCCAATAATAACAAATAGGGATTTTTTTTTTAACCTTAAATCACTTTTAAGTTAGGCCATAGTCCAAATGTATACCAACTTTCGTCCAAATCCATTCAGCTGTTTTCGAAAAATCTTGTTGATAAACACACAGGGGTGAAAAAATAACCTTCGGTGGCGGAGGTAACAATTAACACAAAAACGCTGCATAAATTAAAAATATCTCCACGGTACAGGCTATAATGTGAGATATTATATGTGGGTTTTGGAGGCGACTCTGGAAATGGGACCCACACTGTCTACTAGCCTTAATCTCCGTTCGCGCATACCTATTCGAGGGCTATCTTCGCTAGCCGTCCCTATAGACTGTAGAGAGAAGGCAGTTAGTCAACACCACTCACCGTATACTCTTGAACTGTTCTTTACCAACGACTAATGGGAATGACCCTCACCTGGTAACGCCCCCCAAGGCTGATAGAGCAAGCACGTCAGGTAACGGGTTTCGATCGCGCGACGCGCAGAAAAAAAGATTAATTAATCAATAACTTTACACATACTGCAATTACTTATTGGTTAACACAAGTAGTAGTTCAATTTCTCTGTGCACTTCGAATATTTCAACATTACTCCTTAACAACCACGTTATGGTAAGCCTAATTAACAACCACGTTAGGGTTAGCCTGATTAATGATATCACTATGTTTTTAGCTTGAATTATCAAGAACAAGAGTTTATAAAATAGCTTAGCAGGAACAGGAAGTAACAAGAGAATGTTTTCAAAAAGTTTTTTTTAACAAAAAGTTACGCAGTGGGCTATATGCGATGTGTCCGCCGCAGATAATCGAATCCCGAATTTTTGAGTTGCAAGTCCACAAACTTACCGCTGACCCACCGGAGTAATGCTTTATCAAAATAGAACATCCTAAGAGTTGGTGGGAGGTACTGTTGACTAGCTGCCTTCTCTCTAGTCTGTCAATCCAAAAATTAAGGATAGCTATGCGCAGATAGCCCATGCGTAACATTGCACAAAAATTATACAATTACAACGTCGAAAAAGTCTACAACAAAAACATTTAAGAAGTGCAACACTAGGTGCTATAATAATCAGTTTTGTTGAACGAACAAAATTATGAACAAGATGGTCCAATACATTAAAACCTTTTTATCTATGGAACAGGTATTAGAAAAACAAATTCAGTTATTTAGTGCGATTTTAAATGTATTTCAGAGATGAATATCACCAGAACAAAAAATTATATATGCGCAGAATATCTGTGTAGCTATGTATGCACATTGTACAACAACAGCTCAGTGATAATTCTGAAACCTTACACCTCTAAAAACTACTTCGGTACTCGTGGTGGGCACAGCACAAATAGCCCTTTGTGTAGTTTTATGCTTAAAAACAAACAAACTACAATAACGTTTATGAACCACATTGTAGGTATCATAATGTAACAGTCTTCTTATATCGATGGTTAACGGTGTTAAAACAAGTCAATAACTAGAGGGTTAATACGAGTTTAACGTCTGAAGCGATGGTTGAGATTAACTTAATATCTGAAGAACCGGAGTCCGTAAACGTGATGTTTTTATTTACTTTGGCTCTAAACCTGGAGACCAGGAAATGTTTGTTTTTACATACGTAATTTTATTGTTGTCTAAGAACTGTGGAGGAGTATGGCGTCAAACTTTCTATCCTAACAAAGTCTATAAAAAAATGTATCACTTACTAACTGCTGTTGATATGTGTCCTTTTGCTCAGCTTTAATTGAATTTTTTTACACATCATTGATAGAATGTCAAATATTACTAAGGCTTCGTAATGGCAGATAATGAATTCTGAACATTATTGTTTTTGGACATTTACTACACAAAATGAAAAATACACTATGGATTTAACACCAATTAAAACACATCATGGAATTAACACCATTGATAAACAACATGGATTTAACACCAGAGAAAAACACAACATGGACTTAACACCAATGAAAAACACACCAGAGATTTGCCATTAATACAGAGAAACTTAGTTTCAAGAGAATTATTGTAAAGGAACACTAATACATCTTGTAACATGTTTCCAACTATTTGGATATCAAAATACCATTATTAGTGTAATTGAAACCAATCCGTCATCACTGACAGTCCTGTTGAAGAAGGTTCACACAAGGCCTTAGAAACTGAACTAAAATTTGATGAAATTTTGTATCTATGTCAGTTTAGTGATCAGCACTTAGATCTAAAACTTGATATCCAAAATATGTTGTGAAATAAATATTTCTTAATCATAAAATATGACATACCGTTATAATATGTTTACTTATACAGATGGTATGCAAGTAACAACCAGTAACATAAAAGTATGGAATAAATTGTAGAGGTTTGGTTTGTTTTGAATTTTGCCTATGTTAGCCGTCCCTAATTTAGCAGTGAAAACTAGAGGGAATGCAGCTAGTCATCACCACCCACTGCCAACTATTGAGCTATTCTTTTACCAACGAATAATGGAATTGACCATCACTTTATAACGTCCTTATGGCTGAAAGTGCGAGCATATTTGGTGGGATGGGGATTCAGACCCGCAACACTTAGATTGTGAGTCAAGCACCCCAACCACCTGCAAATTGTAGAGAAACACTTCATCATACTTAAGTTATTCCAATAGTGCAAGGTACTGTAACTGTGTGGAAGGGAGAGAGGATGTTCTCATAATTCTTTTAAAAGAGAAAATAATATTCAACACAAACTATGGTTGGTCAAGTTCATTCTATAATGCTGGATTTTAGCACAAGGTGTTACTAAAAAATATGTTGTTTAAATTTGTTTTGAGTAGATAGATAGCATCTTCAATCATCTTAAATTTATCCAAACAGAGCAACTTTACAATGACTCGAACATCCCATTTATCACCATGTTTGTTATTGGACAGCTGTGAACCAATTGCTGTAGATATTCTTGGATGAATAAGTTACAGTACGAGAGAATGCCTTAGAGAATTTTCTAGAGTATATGCTGTGTTCATTCTAGACTGTTGTTGCGGCAAAAGGTAGTTAAACTCGATATTAGGTGAAGGATTCTAAGAGAACTGGTCAGTGAAGTTGATGATCTACAATATTTAAGAATAGCATGGATAAATGGCTTTAACAGATGAGAATCCACAAACACAAATGCCATTGTCAAAAACCATTCACGATACCCAGAAAACAGTATGCAATACAATCAACAAGGATCTTGGTTTCAAAACGAGGGCATTGGTTCACCATGATAATGCTTACAGTCATACCTCCCATTCAACCGTTTTTTATCTAAAGTTACCAGTACAAATGCCATTGTCAAAAGCCATTCACGAGACCCAGAAAACAGTATGCAATACAATCAACAAGGATCTTGGTTTCAAAACGAGGGCATTGGTTCACCATGATAATGCTTACAGTCATACCTCCCATTCAACCGTTTTGTATCTAAAGTTGCCAGTGGTGTGCTTTAGAGATGACAGCCTTACAATAAAACCTCTTGCAATGGAAACTATGCTGCATGCTTATTGTTAAGATTCAGTGTCATTAGACAGAGCATGACCAAATGTAGAGACATTATCTGTGACAACGTTTTGCGGCTCTTCCATTAGTGATGAAGCCCAATTTTGATCCTAATCATTTTAACATGTTTTTATCATTTCTGCGAGAACAGTATAAATTCAAGTAAGAAAGTGAAAGGCTCAAGAAATTAGTCACAAGGTAATGTGGAAGTAATATTGTGTTTACTTTTATCACCACCTGGGTATGGGGAAAAAAAAGATATATATAGTTTCTGCTATATATATATATAGCTTGTACAAGAAAAATTACCCAAATAATATTCACCCAAGTAAATACACTTACTCTACAATATTTTATTTTCTTCACCACTGTACATATAATATTTATCACTAACAGGTGTTATGAAAATCACATTGCTCTTACACTTTAGTGAGAGAGAACAGCCCTTTTCAGAAATGGGAAAAAAAAACATCTATATAAAAATAATAATTACAAAGATTGTAGAACGAAATGAAATACAATGAAAGCAATAATTTCTTTTCTTAAAGTCAGCTTTTAGGAACCTTTTAATTAATATTTAATTTCAACCTTCAATAAGTTACACCTTGTAAAAAAAAAAGACAAAAAAAAAAGACTCATTTTAGAGATAAATTCTTCTTAAATCGTTTGGAGATGTAATGATGTTACACTGTGGACATAGCTTCTTGGCCCCCTAGAGAAAAACAGAGAGGCAGATAAAACATGTGACTATTCTGAAGAAAGGTTAACACAAGTATGAAATGGCCATGAAAACAATCCTTTTCTTGGAAACATTCCTAGTCAGAAATAAGCTGATCACATTTTATTGTCATCAGAATGCATCCTAATGAAACTCTAGGGCCTAGGCTTTATTCTTATAACATCCAGCTATAAAAATGGCTTAAAACTGTTCATTTATTTTTTACAATACATGCAAGTATAACGTAAAAACATTCAGCTGCCACATTAGTTAAACTTGAAAGCTATTTGAAATTATACTTTTTGTGAATTAGTATATAACACACTTTAATATATAAGCTTTAAAACAAAAGTATATGCAAAGATTCAGTATGCATTTTTTGACTGTTATTTACAAGGAAAAAATACAAGTTTTTACTACGGAAAACAACAACGAATTCTTCTCGTGATTCTTCAATGAATATTGTTTTAACAATTGCCTGTTACTGCTTTGGAAACGTTTCATTCAATCTGTTAAAACTGATTCCTAATAGCATTAAGTGATGTACAAACTTGTTTATAGAGTAGAGACTGTGTTAATATGGTTAAAAAGTAGAGACTATGTTAATATGGCTATTATGATTCATATAGTATACATATTGAGCATCTTCCAATAACTTAATTAAAGATACCATAATAAAAGGATTTTCGTGTATTCTAAAACATCAATACTTCTGATGTTATGATACATCTTCAATCATTATTTTTAATGTATCTATCTTCCAACCACTTAAATATATACCATAATAAAAGAATTCTTAAGTATTCTAAAAATTCAATACTCCTAATGTTACGATACATCCAGGATAATTTTTACCGTAACAATAATAATAGTCTAACATTAGCTACAGATTTAAAATCAACCAAGAAAAGCTGAATTCTCATAAAATGTATGTATAACTATTTAAGAGTAACTTTAATATTTTATAACTCACTTACAAAGAACTGATTCTACAGCAGCAACTACTAATTAGAATTAACCTTAGCTACAAGAGTGGGGGTCTATCAAAAACTGAAACAATTTTATGTGGGTGGTGGTCTGTAAAACACTGAAACAATCTTATGTTGTTTTTTTTTACAGATAGTTTAGACAGTGTTTAAGTTTTGTTATTTTTTACAGATGGTTTAGACAGTGTATTTAGGTTTTTGTTATTTTTTTCATGCATTCAATTATTATAAAACTTCGTTTTCCACCTGATGAATCACTTTAAAATATCTTCTATACAACAATATATGCACAACAGAAATTAAATGATGAGATGAAAATGTGTTATAACAGTGCGTAGAAAGAACAACAACAAAATGGACCTGCAATATTATTGACTATTTGCAAAAAGTAACTATGGAGATGAGGTAATAAAATAAAAATCAAGTCGAGAACAACAACAAAATTTTATAAATGAAAACCTTCAGCTGAGCATTGGCTATTATATTATTTCTCTGTCAATGTTTCCATTTTCATTAAAAGGCATAATATGACAAAAACAAGATCTTGAAGAATCTATCTATATGCTACTAAAACTCTGAGATTGTTTGTTTGTTTGCTTATTTTCTCAGTCAAAAAATCATTCACACCACCGTTCGCACTAATTAATGAAACTTCTTACTCCACTTTTTTGAAAAATGAAATGGTCTTTCCTTTTTCTCCCGATCGACAATCAAATATCTTTTCTTGAATTATGAATAACACGAATGGATTGAAATATTTAATTAAATTATCTCAAAATAAACCTTCGTTTCGGTGCAATATTGAAATTAGCTTCAATTCTTCATAGCCTCTGAAAAGTGGTTAACCCAACGGGTCACGGTGGTCTAGTAGCCTTTAAAGCTACAGGCAAGACTACTAAGTTGATAATCTGTGTCAATAAATGGCAGTAATATATGGGTACATTGTTCTAACAATTTCCTTGTTGTCTTGCACATGTAGCTTCAAAGTATTAAACTATCTTGATTCCTAACTTTTGAACTAATGGAAAACTGCAAATAATATTAAAATACAAAATGTGTCAACAAACTTTAAAAATAAAATAAGTTTATAGAGCTTACCAGTGTTCTCAACCAGCATTCTTCACAGTACACATGCCAACAACACACTGATACTACTGGATGTGTATAGGGCTCCTAGAGATGGTAAAAATAACAAGTTAATTAAACAACAACTGAATAAGGAAAAGCGTACAAAATGTGATTATTTATATTTGTTGATTAATTATAAATGTTCAGTTATAAGCACTGTCAAATAGAATGCTTATGGTGAGAATAAAACATGCTTACAGTTACCTTCTTGATTAACATGTTTAAACTAAAGCAATACTTTTCAACCAATATACTAACTACTGTAGAATTTGATAGAAGTACTGACTTCAAACTCATAATTTATCATACTGATCATTGATTTTCATCCCTCAAAATTACCAATTTCCAATACATGTAAAAATCAAGAAATGCACTTGATCCATCTATCACTTCCATTAACATATTAAACGTAACAACTGTAGCCTTGAGCTTCTAATCCAGTAAAATTCCATAATTAGGAATACACATTTAAAGTGATGATCTTATTGTGAGCTGCTTTTAAAATACTGTTTGAAAGGAAAAATGAAGTAGAAGATGGTTTGTATATGAACTCACAATTCGATAACATTTGGTAAAACAAACAGATATAAAAGAAACTGTCACTCTGAGGGAGTTAAAACTTTTTTTTTAAATTTAAAGTAAAAAATGGTTATTTTAATTACTTACCATACATATTAAACATTTCATCTTCTCTATATGTTGATATTGCTTTTCTAGTTCCCTAATTCTGGCCTTCAGAGAAGATATCGTCTGAAGTTTACCTGTTTCTAAGGTACATTTTCTACACCCAAAAAAAAAGTTATATTTAAAATATTAGCTTTTTATAATTGCATATGTATACAATTTGAATAAAAGTGGTAAAAATATTTCATTTTACTATTTAAGAACGATTTTGATTGAACAAAGTAAACAATAAAAAAGTAGAGATTTATGAATGAAACTGAGTCAGAACAACCATTAAAACACTTAATTAGTTTACGAGTGTTTATTTACGAATTTTATCTTAATATTATAACATCCAGTAAGCTTGGCCACACGAAACCACTTATAAGGATATTAGCATATAAGATAGTACAACTACTACTTTTGAAACAAACATAAGAGTACTACTACTTTTCAAACAAACGCAAGATAGTACTACTATTGAAACAAACATAAGATAGTACTACTACTTTTGAAACAAACACATAGTTGTATGACTACATTATTCCAAATGTAATCAAGTACTAATACTATTGAAACAAACATAAGATAGTACTACTACTTTTGAAACAAACACATAGTTGTATGACTACATTATTCCAAATGTAATCAAGTACTAATACTATTGAAACAAATGACTACATTATTCCAAACATAAACTTACTAACATAATTATTTGTGAAATGTATAAAATATTCAAGTCAAAGCTTTATGCATTTTTACAAACTGGATTCTTATTAATACTTAAAACATTTCATCTAGTACAAAAAAGGTTTAATCTACAATTCAGAAAGGTCTTTTAACATTGCACTTAAACTGTATAAAGAAAGGGTTATCTGAAAAAGCATTGTTTTGAACCTGAAACTTATATATTCATTTGTTGAAGATCATGAAGTGTTGTTATCAAATGATGTTCATATGAATAACTGTTATTCACTGGTACACAAACACTTTAAGAAGCCATGTGGCATTCCATTCAGTTACTGGTTTATATCAGAAGTCTCCAGGTTAGACCTATAACCTTTATCTTTGACCTTTCAACCACAAATCTTGGGAACCCAATCCAGTGGTCTTATTTTATCCTCATATATAGTAATTTATTACCTCATGAACACTAAATCTATCCCATTATCAAAACACAGGATAGATAACTCTCAAGCCAGGCTTGGTAACTTCTTTCTTATCTGTTGTTTAATTATCTGAAGGACAGAAAGGGAACAAAATAACCATACATGGTTACTGCTTTGAGTAATCTGGTGCTTCGTAACCACAGATTAGTCTGCTACATATGGATCAAATTCACTTTTTTACACCACATTTGGATTCACTAGTGCAAGTTTAGTCAGAATTCAAAATAATTCAAAAGTTTTCTGAGCCAAATCACCTAACACTTTGCCAGTATTTGTTAACATTGACACAAGGAAGAAATGTATCAATACATAGTTAATAAAATACCACTAATACATATGCAAAATAATATGAATATATACTAAATAAAGATATCATCAATATATTGATATAAATATAATAGTACTGTCTGTTATATGTCTATGTAACTACTTCGCACAGTGTGGATGGATCTTCACCAAAATTGTATGAAGGTTAATTAGGTCCATGTGTGGAGGTGCATGCAAATTTTCAGTTTTGCATTTTGCAGTTTTTATAGGCGTTTTTTAGCACTACTACACCCCCTGTTGATGGATATTCACCAAATTTGGCATGAAGACTTGTTAGATATATTCGGAGATATCAGAAATTTCATGGTTTCACATTTTGTGTTTTGCAGTTTTTATGGGTGATTTTTACAACTACAT